GGGTCTTGGAGTGTTATACTGCTGCTTTCAGCTTTGAGGAAGGACTAGTGGAGATACCTACGCTTGGTATCGGAGCTCCGCTACAGATTTAACGTCTTAATGGCAAATAATCGAGTAGTGAGACTGCAGGGGCATGATCTATACACCAAAACTGCTGTTATTTTCCCATTATCATATCCCACAATAACAACATAAGTAAACTGCTATACAAAACAGAAAAAAAGACTATTTTTAATTTAGACGTAATGGGTTAACAGTTAATGAAACAAAACAAACTAGCTGGGGCCCTTTTTATCCTTAAACTTATTATAAGATTAAAATAATCCCAAATCACACCTATCCCCACATAAAACGTAACAACTCACACACATACCTGCTGGCAGAGGTAGATGCTGCTGACAGGGGGTTGGTAAATGTCACAAGACACTCTAGAGCTTCACCAGCTAGGAACACTGGGCCACGGATTAACTTGGCTACAACTTCAATCATGGTTAAGTGATGTAATGAGGAGCCAGCATTGATTTAGAGCCACGGAAAAAGGACGGTACTTGTTCACTCAGAGCCACGGAGAAGGCTGGTTCTGGTTAACTCAGAGCCACGGAGTGGATTCACTCAGAGCCACAAACACAGCCGGCACTGGTTCGTTAGGGGCCACGGAGAGGGTCGGCACTGGTCCACTACGGACCACGGAGAGGGCCACCACTGGTTTGCTCAGAGCCACGGAGAGGGCCGCCACTGGTTTGCTCAGAGCCACAGAGAATTAAATCGATACCTAAATTCCAAAAAGAAAACTTTAGACAAAAACGTCAGAACTGGAAAAGTTCCTCAACTCAGAGACACCATCTCTGTATAAGACACACACACTATCTTTCGATTACACGCTATGTATATTATAGCTCTATTACACATTAAAAATCTTTTTTACAACACACAATATATTATCTCTGTATTATACTCTATATATCTCTATGTTACACCCTCTGTCTGTATAACACACAATTTATTATCTAGGTATAACAATGTATAATACCTCTTAATAACAAGCAATATCTCTCGGTATTACACCCTCTCTCTGTATAACACACTATGTATCTATGTATTACACACTGTAGCGGAGAGGTAGTATCATCCACAATATCTAAACTGGTAACAGGAACAGTTTACAATAATCCAGGCAAAATAAATACAGCATACAATAATCCCAGTAGCGTTATACAGATCCTTCCTTCCCAAGAACTAGACGACACATAGGCTGGGAGTCAACTGAGCTTTTAATCACAGGTCACAGTAACCCCATGCAAGGGGTTTCCTTACGGACTTTACAGGGGTTGTAAAATAGGGGACTACATGGGGAACTTAACAACCTGGACATTTCTCCCATCATGCACTGCTGCACGAGATGGATACTCCCACTAGAATATCAAGTTAAGTGGATTATCCCTCCGTGCAGCAGAACTGGCTTTTCACATAAAGATCCGTAACTTACATATTATTCGTGCCATTGTACCGAATGACCGTTCGGCAGATAGCTGGGGTCTGAGGGCATACTTCGTGAAAGTACTGCTCAGAGCCAAGCACAATCAGTCGAACGCCGCACGAAATACACTTCAATATACATTCCTCATAAAAGTCACGAATACACAAGTAGGGAAAAAGCACAGAAAGACCGGCGCTCCCGAACGGCCTGGAAGTCCAGTGGTTCCAGGCACTCGACGACCAAACACTGCTGGGCAAAAAGGGAATCCAAGATGGCCGCCGCCTCGTGGTCGTTAGCCGAACGACGGCCACCCTGTGAATCAATTAACAGCCAATGGATACATTGTTGCAATCTGTTAATGGGAACCACACAACCCCTTGTGTGTGGGCTCCCATTCGGTACTTTGTTCGTTTTACGAACAGTGTTGAAAATCCCTGTTCGTGAAACTACCATATGAATGCTAGCGGCTTTCGTGCCACTAGCATACAAATTCTCTCTTTCACATTTTAAGCAAACACATCAAACATCATATATAAACCAGTCTTTCTAGGGCAACCCTCAAAGATAAACAAAATAGTCTGAGTACTCACAGATCATTTTTCAAGTTCAGTTTGTCTGGATAACCCGTCGGCGTTACCGTTTTGCTTTCCGGGGCGATAATTGTGGCAAAACTAGCCACTGGGACTATCTTGGACAATATGTGGGAAAAAGTTG